GTTAACTGAATCAAAACATGTCTCTCATCCATGAGACTCACTTTCCACTTTCCTGCTAATTTGAGGTCATCAAAACTTTTCCTGATAACTTCCATAGCTGTGTGTCCCCACTCAAATTTACCAATAATAGCAAATTTGAATTTGTCAGTCAATGTTGAAATTTCCGACTCAGAGAAAAATAGTGTTGTCTTCCTACTCTTCCTGCTTGTATTCTTAATAAAAAAGCAGTCACCTGTACCATCACTATTCTCCTCATAACTTGAGGGGAAGACAACCGTCGTCTCCCCCTGAGGATTACCCACAATGTGGGCAAAAGAGATTTTACCGGGCTCAATCGAAAAAGGAGGAAGATCCATCGCAGCAAAGAAAAGCCCTGCATGTCGGGCCGAGGGCAAAAAAGACGAGCCGAGGAGAAACTGCGCAAAAGATGAACCACAAATGTCGATGAACCACAGATGTCGAACGTAGCTGCAATCTCAGCAAACCGCAGCTAGACGAGGCAGAAGACACGAACCGCAGAAATGACACGGAGGAAATGACGAAACCGCAGAAGCTGGAAGACGCCGTGGTTTCGTCGCTGAGCGCGAAGTAGCGCGAAGGAGGAGATGACGACGAAAACGAAGCCTTGCATCGTTGGGCGCGAAGAATGAGACGACGATCGCAGAGGAGATTGACGAGCGCGAGCAAGCGAGCAAGCGAGCGTCAATGGAGGGCCTGAGATTCGATGTCTTGCCCTAGTTGTTCGAAGGGAGGATGCGAGTAGCTTCGTGCGTGAAGGTGGAGACCGATTGAGCCTTGAAGCGAAGAACCGACCCAAGTTCGATACACCCCTCAATAGTTCGATCATGATATACATGAACGCATCAGTTTGGCAATTCAAAAAAATCACCAACATGATTAATTTATATATCTCATAGGGTATTAAAATTTTTGTTTTTGCACTCGAATTTCATTATTTATGTATATAACATTCAAAAATTTAATATTACGTTAATCTTCCATCACACCAAACATTGAAATCACATTTTCGATCATTTTGAAAAATCACTTCAAAAATAACTTTAAGAAAATAGTTGTATCATTTGAATATTTTTTTTCTTTTACTTTTTAACATTATTAATTATAGCTTTTTCATATAAAAGGTTAAAATATTTTTTAATAAAATAACAATTTTTAATTCTTGATACTATTTAATAAAAAAAATATAAATTGTTAAATTGCTATCCCTTGCATATATATTTTTATATTAAAAACATAAATTTATTCATATGAGATATGAGGAATTATTGTATACGGACACCGTATGCATCTCCGATCTGAACATAGATCTGCGGGTTTAAAAAAAAAAAAAAAATTTAGTTGATTCCAACCAAATACATCCTCACCGAATAATTTTTCGTCGGACATAGTTCTTCCCCACCTAATATTTTTTTGTTCAGGGAGATCATGGATGACAACTTTGCGCCAGGGGAAGCTGTTGACGGCCTCATGGCGGTCTAATACAAAAATTTACCTAAATTGCAAATTAGGGTTTTAATAAACTTCAACTCTCCACTTCATGCCTGCAATTCTTCCTCTTTCCTCGTACAGGAATTTTAAGTCACTTAACACCAATAAATTCAAGAATTTAATATCTTCGATTATGATATTAAATGCGCTTAAATCTTACATTTTTTTTTTTTTGGAAAGAGCAGCGGTGGCTCCCTACGCGTTAATTAAAAGAAAAGATACAGAACTAGAAGGGGGGAGGATCCCCGTCTATGAAAACAAAAAAATACATTTGACTCACCCCCAGGGGTTCCTCTCCCCCATTATAACTCCAAAAATACATGTATAACCAAAACCAATGAACAAAAACCCAAAAAATAAGGAAACTTGTGTTCAAGTGTAACTTGAAATGTAAAAGAGAATAAACGATGTACAAAAAGTGTCTTCAAATTGGTTGAGTTCTCCAAAAGCATTCCTCAAGCAGCCAAAAATCTGTTTGAGTAACCAGAGCGTAGAGCAGTGAGACCTAAACAGCAGGGAGACAGAAACCGTGAGAATGAAAAAAGAAACAGGGACAAAAAGCAGGGAGACAGAAAACCAGCCCTGCAACAAAAAACATGGAAACCTGTCAAGCATAATAAATCTCGCAAAAGGAAGAAGCTTAATATCGAACATAAGGCAGGTTCAAGTTATCCCCAAATAGAAGGCGTTTGAGAGGAGCAGGGGGGTAAATACCGACGTGGCAGACCTCCCCTGCGTGCTTGACTAACCAATCAGCAGGGGAGTTGCCCTCTCTATGAATAAATTTTTTCCAAATTACCTCAAGATGCCTTTCAGCCATAAATGTTAAAATATGTTTAAAAGTACAAAATATATCCCAGAGGGGAGGAGAGATACCTAAAACAGTATCATAGAGCAATTTAAAATCAGTTTCCACCTCAATTTTATGAAAATTGAAAATTGAAAATTGAAAACAGCAGCCACCGTTAATGCCAGAAAAACCCTTCAGCATTCCGTGGCCAATGGATTATCAACCACAACAAGAGAGGTGAAATAACAGAGACACCTACCCTCAAAATCTCTAAACATGACCCCAACCGCAACATAATCAGAATGCCAATAACCATCCACATTAATTTTAACATTGCCCGGGGAAGGGGGAGCCCACCCGACCCTTAGAGCCTTATTGTAGTAGGCAAGCACATAAGCAACAATCATAGAAGCAGTTGGGGGGGAAGTATTGTATTTAAAACTATTTCTGGAGGTCCATAAAAACCAGAGGACAAATAAAGGGAGGGGAAACCCCCCTTTTTTATCATCAAAATCCTTCGATTGCCACAAATAATTGCTTAAAGTGCACCTATGTAACCAAGAAATACCAAAATGTGAGCCAAGCATATTAAAATGTGAGCCAAGCATATTTCAAACATTTAAAGAAAAAACACATTCTAAGAAAATGTGCCTCGTATCTTCCTCCTCAATCTTGCACATATGACATCTGGAGGCCAATTTTAGGTCTTTCAACTTAAGGATGTCATCAATAGGTATTAAAGAAGTGAGGTAGCGCCAAAGGAAAAAAGATATAGAGGGAGATAAATATTTATGCCAAATTCATTTTCCCAGAGCCAATCATCAGAACCAATCATGGTGAGAGTGTGAAGTGCTATAAATAAGCTTGCAAACCGATTGAGAGTTGTCCCTTTTCCACATGGGAAGATCCTTTCGAGATGGAGTAATAGGAATAGTGATATATTACTTAGCATTTTGCTCCCCCACAATAGAACACAATTTGGAAAAATCCCAGTTATCTTGAGTAAAGAAATCAGAAACCAATAAGAAATTAGTATGAGGTGGGTGAGAGTGTTCAGAGAGATGTGACAATCCCCAATTATCATTCCAGAATGAGATACTACCATCACCTATGTCCCAAAACATGAAATCATTAGCAGTAGTTCTAGCCTTTTCGACAGCTTTCCAAATGCGGGAATCACCAACCTTCCACTTAACCTGAGTAGGATGAGTTTGAGCACAATATTTCTGATGCATAAAGGAAGCTCATAGAGATGAGTTCAATCTAAATTTAAACCAAAGTTTGCAAAAGTTTATTTCCACAGTATTTTTCAGAGCTTTAAAATCAAACCCGCCAGCCCTCTTAGGCTTACAAACCTTATGCCAAGATCCCCGAAATTTTCTTGCACCATTCCCCACCCAAATGAATTTATTAAAAAGCCTCTCCATAATATTGATAGCACTTTTTAATTAAACACCTACAAAACATATAGTGGAATACTCTGAAGAACATTAGAGTGCAAAGAAATCCTGTCCCCAGTAGAAACAAAAACATTTCTCCAATCATTAATTTTGCGCTTGATTTTATCAATAACGTCATCCATATGAATTTGTTTTCTCCTTCCCCTAATCAAATTTACCCCAAAATATTTGAGAGAAAGAGATGCATGATGAAAGCTAGTATATGCAACTCCCCAATGAGTAAGGTGTTGCTTAACTTGCTTGCCAAAAAACATCTGACATTTGTCACAATTAGTAGGAGTTCTGAACAATTTTGGAAATCCTTTAAGAGCCTCATCACTTGTTTTATGACAAATTTAGATGCATTAGCAAAAATAATCACATCATCAGCATAAGCAAGATGTGAAACCATCATTTTGGCCTTATGGGAGAACTGTGTGTGAGGGTGTAATAGCTGGTAATGATTGAGCATCCTCGATAAATAATCGAAAGCTAAAATGAAAATAATAGGGGAAAGAGGGTCCCCCTGTTTAATGCCTCTACAAGCAGTGAAGAAATTGTAAGAATTAACATTAATAAGCACGGAGTAATGGTTAAAAATTATTATAATCGGAGAGCATATAATTTGAAAAAAAATATTTATCTATACTCCCTTAACTATATGCATTCTCTTATTTAATATTTTTACTATTGTATTCACTCTATACGTCTATAAATAAGCATTGTTGTTCAATGAATAATATCACCAATACTCTCCCCATAACACAACTGCAAAATCGATCAAGTTCAGCTATGAAAGTAACGCTATTAAGAACTTTTTTCTTGTTACTGGATGTCTAAACAGCTATAAGCTAATAATATTTCACTAGTCTAGTGATTATGGTTTACTCAGTGCACCAAAGTGCTCAAAGTACGAACAGTCCACAAGAGCAATTCATTTTAATCAACGTCTCGATAGTAATAAACGAATCAATTCGTGCAGTTATTAGGACTGATTTGATTTGTGGTTAGAAAAAGCCACTAACGCAACTTAGCTATATAAACTGTCTATCAATTAAAAAAAATATTTCAAAGTTTTCGATAAAAACAAAAGTATCCACCAAGTTAAGAAAATTACATAAACAGAAAAACGCCTAACCAGGTTCCAGATCTCTACTTCCCTTTCATGCCAAAAAAATAAGCCATATAATATATGAGGGACCAAATATATTTCTTGATTTATTTCAAAATAGTAAAAAGAACACTGGATCATGTTATCTTACCGGTATGAACTTCTGAGTTAGCAGCAGCGGTTGCATCAACAATAACAGAAACAGGTTCATAGTTTAATGCTACAGCATCAAAGACAGTTTGGCGGATGCAGTTTGGCGTTTGAACCCCTAAACAACACAGAAATTGACAATTTAATGTCTAGTTTCATCTACATATGTATAAAATATGAAGCACAGCACAACATGGAGGATTTTTTGTTAAATATTTTCTTTTCTAAAAAAATAATGAAATGAAACCACATATAAAAAGTAAGAAAACATCATATCCCTGCCATAGTTTTTATTTAATATACAAGTTTTACTTACCAACAACAACTAAGCTCTTGATTCCCAAACTTCGAAGAAGAGAATTCAAATGTGTGTCAAAGAATGCACTAAAGCGGGTCTTTACCAACTTATACTCCCCTTCGACAGGCGTCAGCCCATCAACTAAGTCGGCACCTGTCGAACCTCTCATGGTCGGTCCTTTGCCATTAGCATAGAGATGCCTCCTGAACTGCTCAACATCTCTCCCATAGGGGTCATGTTCCCTGACAACCTAAATTGAATATTAACAAACCTAAATCCACTAACAAATTTTCAAAATAAAGATACAATTAAATACAAGAGCATGTTAATATACAGTATACTAACCAGCTAAATCAACTTTATCAAAGAAGAAACAAAATGATGCAAAGGTAAAGAACACTGTTGTTATTTGCTCATTTCAAAAACAGGTTAACATTCTTAGCTGCTATACTCACAAGCAGCCAAATAAACAAATTTTCTATAAATGCCATATCTTCAAATTACAGGTGTTAACAGGATCATGCAGTTTAAAATATAGAAAGACTTACATACAAACCACTCCATTCTTATGTATTTACATTTTTAGAAAATATATAATAACCCCGAAAAACTAGACAAACAGAAAGTAATAAAAGCTATTAAATTAAACAAGCTTAGGAGTAAAAACCATGCCAAAAAGTACTTTTGAATTTCTCCTTTAATCAACAGTCAGCAATTCCAGTTTTGATTCCCTTTGAGGAAGATCAATCATCCAGCCTACTAAAAGCTTCTAAAATCCTTATGCCGTCCCTTGACTAAGACTAGAAAAAATTTTAGGAAGATCTACACGCACACCACTCAATTCCTATGTATTTACATATCTAGCACCTAAACTTCAAATTTTACATACGTACCACCTTGCCTATGCATGAAAATGTGTAGTTCACTTTTCAAAGTTAAAATGGTAATATTTTTTATGTGATATGAGAGATTTAGGTGGTATAAATCTAAGAAGTAAAGTCTAGGTGTTAGATATGTAAGAACATAGGATTTGGGTGGTATGCATGTAATGTTTTTGCCTGCATTCCATTGCTCGCCCTACAAAAAAATCTTGTCGACCCAATTGAAAAAGAAATTCCTCGAGGAGACACTAGCACATTCTATAGGGCACATTTGGTGTGTGATCTACATTAAAATTTTAAATTTAAATCTAATCATTTACTAAGAATTCAATAACTGTATTCAAGGATATTAACTATTTGAGTTCTCACTTCAAAGTAGTCAGATCATACTATCCAGAATAACCAACTCTGAGCATTCGAAATTCACGGTCAATCCACACACACTTGATCCCAAGAACCACACCAACCTCATCCAGTTTGAATCAGGAATATCTCTCATTACCTCGAGCACACAATTTCATTTTTCAAACAAACCATACTCCAGAAAAAAAAAGAATATATTTTAAACTTGGTTAATGTCTATAAAAACAGGAGCTATCAGGAGCATGCCAAGATGAAGAATAGGAAGAAGATAAAGATTATAGGAAAGGAGAAGAGGGAAATCAAAGAACAAAATAGAAGTTGCAGAAGAGAATTATTGAAGAAGAGAGATAAAGAGACGAGGGAATCAATATTCAATTCAATAAGAATCAAGTTTTTTTTCAATACAAAATCATTGCCTTTTAAATAAATTTTAGATCTTACAATGCTTTTATAAAATATCAAAAGGCATTAATTATTAAGAGCATAACACACAAACACACACACATAAACTTATAAATTAATATGAAAAGACTCCTAAGAATTGGAAGTTGTCCATGATGCTGGAGAAAGCAGAACTAATTCAACCATAACTTTATAATCAGTGTGAGATGATGCACCTCTAGAGATTCTGGTTAAAATGAAGGCGAAAGGAAAAACATCCATCCTAACATCTAAAATACCGATATGAAATTAATTATCGGGGCATTTACATACATACCACACAATTCTAATGTATTCACATATCTAACATACAAACTTCCATATTTACAAGCATAGCACTCAAATCTTTAATATCACATCTAAAATACCACTTTGACCTACTCTTTTAAAGTAAAATTAACCTTTTCATGTATAGGATTATGACATCAAAATGTCATTAGATGTTAGACATGTAATTATATAAGAATTGAGGAGTATGTATGTGAATTTCCCTAAATTATCACAACTCATGTCATAGCTGATAGTAATACAAATTTATGGCAGGCTCTGAATAAAGATAACCAGAGAATTATGACAAGTGCAAGCAGTGGGTAATGATCCTTGATATGAATTGGAGGATAAAGCCTTGGGATGGTGGGTCTATGATGGAAGAGAAAGTATGAAAAGATGACAGCATTATGGCATTGGTGACATCTAAAGTGATTCTAAAGCAATCTCTTCTCAAGTACAAATATCAGTGTCGAAGCTTTTAGCTCAAACTAAAGCACAATCATAATCAATTCGCCAACCGCCAACTCCATGGGACACTCATTTAATTTTGAACTTGTGGAAGTGTTTATTTAGGCTTAATGTTGCAATCATATTCCTTTTATGTCATCATTCTTTGAAGCTATCGAGTGTTTACAAGATTTCTTCAAGCAGAGATTGGACTTCTTCAATGTTTATTGAAGATGTTGAAGGAAATATGAATCATGTTTGTGAAACTCAAAATACTGTTTACAATTGGTTTGAGGTGAATTATATTATATATTGGCATATTGAATTTATTGGCATAATATTCATTATGATCAGTATAAAAAAAATTGTTCTGAGCCGAATATAAAGACACAGATGATGAGGCTTAATATGTACACATTGATGATATGAAGTTATAAGTATATCAACAATAATGATATTCATCATAATCATATTTCTACTACTAATGATAAAAATTCAAAAACATTCAAGAGAGAAGTTCACGGATGATGTGATTGAACCATGAGCAAAAAGTTGCAAATGCAAAACACTACATGTCTGAAGAAGGACCGTCAAAGAAGGCTTGAAGGGAACAACAATTACATTATGTTGACGACCAATAAAAAAAGGCTGATCTTGTGCACAAAGAAGCACCACGGTGCATTGGTGTGATGAAAGGGGTGTATCGAAAGGAAGGCAAGGTAGCAATATCTCGTGTGTTGTAAGAAGATTGAAGCATTGTCTAATCATAAACATGAACAAAGACTTCAGGAACTTTGGCTTGGTTAGGTCCAATGGATCAAGTTACAATCATATGTGTGTTGCAAGCAAAGATGGGTAGGCTAGAATGTAAGTGGAGACGCCTGTTATTGGAATATAAATGCTAGAAGGTTACGTATGACGCATGGTGGGATAGAGCTACTGCGTGCTAAGTGAAGGTCAAGTGGGACACAGAGTTTAGTTATTGCACACAAGCAATGGGTGCTTTGTGTGCGAGGAGAGTGAAGCAATTGCAACTGGAGAACCAACGTGATATGTTGCAAAGCTCAAGAGCAAGATTTAGAGAGATAAGAAGGCGGCTAGGATAGAAGTGGGATCGGAATGGATCAAGATAGTATGAGGCAAACATTAGTGTTTGATACAATTCAGTGTCATGGACAATGACGACGCATGAGTTGAGTAGTACAAACCATGGAAGAGGGTAAAGCAAAGAAACTTTGGATAGCTAGAAGTCACAACAGTATGATACATGGGAGGAGCGGGCAAGGTATAGTTACAAAAGGAGGTGCACGGTGGAAGACACGACGAGACAGGAGGATTTTTTTAGAAATCGACATTAAGAAAAAAAATGAAATTAAGATTTCAACATTTTTATGAAAACAGTTTAAAAATCGATAATGTTTGTGGTTGGACCAGCAACAATATCGATTCACTTAATTTTAAAATAAACGTTGTTGGAGACTCGCTAATGTCGCCACTCGGACCAGCAACAAACATTAATTCTTTTTAATTCTCAGCCTAGGGGCCAAAAAATGGCCCTAAAAATTCTACAAAAAAGCGTAAGATGACTCATTCCACATATCTTCTCATCCCTTATTTCATTTGCTTGTAAACTTGTGAAGAAATATTTTGTATTGGTCTTTTTGATCGTGTTTGTCATCAAAATCTTTAAAAAACTTATCTCGATCAAAAAGAAAAGCTCTTCTTTTTTTTTTTTTTTGTATTTTTTGGGTGCTGCTGGAAAATAGAAGTAATTGTTAGAGAAAAAAAATTTCTTACATTTTTTTTTTTGTAATATATACAAATAAATGAATTTATTTTTGATTTATAAACTAGATTATGGATAACTTTTAGCTTATATGGGTATGTCTTAAAAAAGTATTTGATAAGCTAATCAAATTAAGAAATAATAAATGATTAATATTACATATATAAATATCTGTGTACATGTGTGTGCATGCGTGCGTGTGTGTGTGCGCGCGCTCTTGTGTCTATAGCGACGACTGGCTCTGCTAGAGTTTGGGCGACATGTTGGCGACTGTAGACAAAGATTTGCTGGGGTAATTGCGGGAAGTGTTGAAAAGGTCACAAAAACACCGGTGGTTCCTCAGACATACCACAATTCTTTACTGGAAGGCGGTGATCAACCGTTCATAAGGAGGGTGGGGAAGAAATGAGGGAAACCAGCCATATTTTTATCTGAGAATGACAATGCAAGCTTGGCCTCTTTGGTTGGCACTGGTGGGAAAGTTCCTCTATGGTCATCCCAAGCTGGATATTATCCAGAAAGAGTTTGATCCTCTAAATTTGGCGAGTAGCTGAAAAATAGGTTTGTTGGATGGCAGCCATATTATTATTCTTTTAACAAGAGATGAGGATTATGCATGATTGTTTGCAAGGAAAATGATGAGGATTGATGACAGGGCTATGAAGCTTCTTAAATAGTCAGTGGGCTTTGATCCACAGACTGAACCTCTGATTGTGTCGGTATGGATTCGATTCCCTAGTTTAAAAGTGCACCTAATTAATTATGAAATATTGTTTTTTATTGTTGTGATATATGGGAGACCTTTGAAGATGGACTCTCCCACGTTCAACTTAACAAGGCCATCTACGGCGCGTGTTCTGGTAGAAAGGGACATCACTCAAGTTGTGATTGAAGAAGTGTGGATTGGGTTCGCCCATAACATGTATTGGCAAAATGTCATCATTGAGCAACGTCCGCTATATTGTTCCAATTGTCGTATGCTTGGACTTTCTTCTGACAATTGTTACATTCTTCATCCTGAGCTCAAAATTGATGTTGGACAGGTTGGAAAAGAGGTGATGA